GTATACATACATTTTTAATGAAATTGAAATGTCTTATGGAGCTAGGAGGAGTCTTGGTGTAGAGTTGTAGGTTAAGCACTTGACTGCTAACAGCAGGGTTGGTAGTTCAAACCCACCAGCTGCTCCTTGGAAACCATATACAGGGTTGCTATGAGTCAGAATTGACTCAAAGGCACTGAACACCAACAGTAACAACATGGGGCGAGGACACTGTGAAACGCGTTTTCAGAGCTGGAATAAGGATGTCTGCCCAGGTGACATTACTGAGGTGTCTCCTTGACAGTTTGGGGCCAGTCAGGCCTCCTTGTGACACCTCCCTCCCCACCCCAAACAGAACCGGGCTGTTTTTTAGCAGCCTTTTCCCCATCTGGAAGCTGAGTGAGTGTGCAGGGCTGGGATGGGGAGTGGGTGGGGACAGAACCTGGGATGGGGAGTGGGTGGGGACAGAACCTGTCATCTAGAGCACATGGCACCTACCTTCTGTCCCAGGAGGCCAGGGGGCCCAGAGGAGCCCGCATTCCCCTTCTCACCCTGTGGGAGAAAAACAGCATAACTATTCAGAACCGCTTCTCCAGGATGTCCCTGAAGGCACTGGCCCCACTTGCTTTGGGCTGGTGGGGAGCCCTCCCTGCCCTTCCCTTAGCTGTTCTCAGAAGGGTTCCACATCTTGGGCCACTTCTGAAGTCCCCAAATAGGCATCAATGTCTCCCCTTAACACTCACACCAAGTGAGGAGCACAGATACTAACAACAGCCAACAGCACTGAGCCGCCTTGGGGGCCTCCTGGGGAGAGTGAGCAGTTGAGAATGCCAACAGTTAGGGAAACCCTACCCATAGGGCTTCCTAGCCTGTTGTTGTTGTTGTCAGATGCCATCGAGTCGGAACCGACCCATAGCAACCTCATGCACAGCAGAATGAAACAATGTCCGATCCTGGGCCAACCTCACTACCGCCGCCACACTTGAGTCCATCAATAATGCCACCTGGCCAATCCATCTCGTTAGGGAATTTCCTCTTTTTCTCTGACCCTCCCTCCACCTTACCCAGCATGACATCCTACTCCAGAGACTGTTCCCTCCGGACAATATGTCCAAAGTATGGGAGACGAAGCTTAGCCATCTTGGCCTCCAAGGAGCACTCTGG